GACGGGGAGGCTGATCTGATTTCATTCAATTCCCCCAAACTGGCCTTAACTGACCCCTCTGACCTGTCACTCCAGGGGCTAGGGGATGGGCCCTCTGGGGCCTGCTGCTGAAAGCAGGGGCGCATGGGCCCCCCCATCTGCAAGGGCAGCAACTTGCCCTTCCTGGGGAATGTGGGGAGCTGCAGGCAGTGCCAGGTCACACAAAAGTGGCATGAGGTCAGATCAGAGTCTCCCCCTGTGGGGTACGGGGACCCCGAGATACAGAGCCAGACCTGTGGCCTGGGTCCTGGACACATGATGCCGCTGTGCCGATCCCAAAGCCGTGACACCACATCCCAGATCGCAGCACCACAGGCCTGGCAGCCACCCACAGCCCTGATCCCAGAACCATGGCCCAGTCTGGATCCCAGAGTCCCCCCTCTCCGGTGCTGGCCCCTTGGACCCAGACTCCCGTGTGCCCAGCCTTGCAGGCTCTGGAGCGCCATGACTCAGACGGCCTCATGGGGTGACCACTGCCCCATTGCAGGCTGCAGGGACACCCAGTCTCGCATAAGGAGAGGAGCTCTGGAGAGGCCAGCCGAGTTTGGCATGATCACAGATTCATAGATACTAAGGTCAGAAGGGACCATTATGATCATCTAGTCTGACCTCCTGCAGAACGCAGGCCATGGAATCTCACCCACCCACTCCTGCGAAAAACCTCTCCCCTATGTCTGAGCTACTGAAGTCCTCAAATCGTGGTTTAAAGACTTCAAGGAGCAGAGAATCCTCCAGCAAGTGACCCGGGCCCCATGCTGCAGAGGAAGGTGAAAAACCCCCAGGGCCTCGTCCAATCTGACCTGGAGGAAAATTACTTCCTGACCCCAAATATTCCAAGCCCTTGCAGAAGCCAGGTTGAGATGCAACCACAGCTCCCAGGCAGTCTGCAGGGCCTGCTGCCCACCCCCTGCCCCACACACCGGGGACAGCTCTGGGATGCATTGTATACAGCATCCGCTGAGACGCCCCGGACACACCCCAGGGCATCCTGCCCCTCGCTCTGCAGACAGAATGGCAGGCAGGGGCGGCAGCTGAGGTGTAAGTATCGAACCCCCGCCGTCCCCTTTCCTTCTTCCTCTTCTATCTCCTGACCCTGAATGCACCAGGATCCTGCCCCACAGTGTGTCTCGGCCCCTCCGCCACCTTCCTGGCCTGCTTTAGTTCTGCAAACGCTCAAGGCAGGAAACGTGGGTCGGCAATGTGTGGTGATGCGAAACACTCGACAGGGCAGGGAATCAAGCTCTGCACCTCCCCCCCACCCCATCTCTGGTGCGGTGGGCTCCTCCGCTGAGCCCTCCCCGCCCCCCCCCCAAATCTGGATGCTCGTCTCTCACGCACTGACAGCAGCTCTCTAGGTCCACCCCATTGCAAGCATTCAAAAGAAACCCCCATTTTCTTCAGGGGGGGCAGTTGAAAAGATATTTTCCTCCCAGAAATGTTCCTTTTTGTGTGAAAAGGAAACAAATGGCCCTTGGGAGCTGTTATCTTGGGACACCTGGGTCGCTGCGGTAGGTATGTCTCCGGCCACCAGCACTGCAGTGTCTGAGGCCTGGCTCTTCCAAATATTTAGGGTCCACACATCCATTGATCTCAATCCCTTTGGGCTCTGGGCCTGAGCGTCTCACACCCTCGGACCCTGTCAGGAAGGGAAGGTTCCCGTTTTACAGTTGGGGGACTATGGCCCAGACAGGCTAAGGGCTTTGCCCAAGGCAGCCCGCAGCAGAACCCACATCCCAGCCCTGAGCCCACCCACGGGACCGCGCTGGTTTGGGCGAGAAAGGGGCGGGACATGAACCGAAACAATGAAAATACGATGTCTGTGGTCAGCTAGAAATAAACATTTTTTTGTTTCACTGGACAGGACATTTTCATAGCGAGGCAGGTTTTTAAACGGTGTCGATTTCTGGTTCAAAATGTCAGGGTTGGACCAAAAGCCATTTTTCTTCATGAAATAAACATCAGCCAGCTCCAGTCTGGAGCGCTTTATACCCTTAGATCTGACTCGTCAGCAGCCCATGCTACCAGTAGGGAAACTGAGGCATAGAGAGGCCGCCATGGCCCACAAGGTGATTCCGCGGGGGTGAGATGGGACGAGAGCCCAGGTGTCCTGCCTCCCATCCTACAATGCAGCTACCCTCCCACACATAATGCTCTGATGCCCCCCCACCCCTTTTCTCTCCCCCCCCCCCATGCTTCTTAAATTAGAGGCTCTTTGCTCCATGACTGAGGCCACAACGATACTAAGAATAGCCAAAGCTTTCAGCATGGTAGTGCAGGGTGCTGGCCTGGAGCCTGCCAATCCCTGCCCCGCTGTCAACTCGGGAGGAGGGTTTTGTGTGCCTGGCACAGGTTGATCAAGGCTGTTGGTGCCTCTCTTGGTGGCACGGTCACCTGTGCCCGGCTGTGCCCAAAGCCGGGCTGGAGGCTGGCTTGGCCTGGCCCATTGTTGTGTTTGGGGGATTTGAGAGTCGTCCAGAAGCGGCGGATGCATCGCTCCGGTGCCGGATCGGGGCCAGTTTATTCCGCGCCCCCCAGCTGAGGGAGGGCGCGTAAGCATGGAGAGAAACCAGATGCTTTCAGGGCACAGCGGAGGGAGCCAGGCCGCCCGGCTGCCATTGTTCTGCGCCAGGCATCTTTCACCTTGAAGTGACAGGAGCTGCGATTGGCGGGCTGCCCCTGTTTCTATGGCGACAGGTGTCCTCCAGGAGCCGGGGCTGGGATGGAGCCGGGACAAGGGGCCGGACCTGACGAGGATGAGAAACGAGAAACGAGAAACGGGCAGCGGCAGGCGGATGGACGTGAAGGGAGACAAAGTCAGACGCTAAGAAAAGGGGAGGCAGCAGCTTATGCCCCCCCCACACGGCTGATGGGAAGGGCGCTGGGTGCCCCCCCGTCTATGAATTAATCAGACCCCCCCCACACACACAGCTGATGGGAAGGGCGCTGGGTGCCCCCCATCTATGAATTAATCAGACCCCCCCACACACGGCTGATGGGAAGGGCGCTGGGTGCCCCCCCGTCTATGAATTAATCAGACCCCCCCCCACACACACACAGCTGATGGGAAGGGCGCTGGGTGCCCCCCCATCTATGAATTAATCAGACCCCCCCCCAACACGGCTGATGGGAAGGGCGCTGGGTGCCCCCCCGTCTATGAATTAATCAGACCCCCCCACACACACACAGCTGATGGGAAGGGCGCTGGGTGCCCCCCCCATCTATGAATTAATCAGACCCCCCCCATGTGCAGCACGTCTGGACTCACAGCAGAACGCTGCCCCCGCCGGGCACGCGGCTGGAGGGCATGAGGCAGGGGGTGCGGCTGCAGAGCAGGGCAGGGGCCAGTCCCCTGGGCTAGGAGCTGGCGGGCGGGGTTCGCCCCGGGGCCGGGCAGGGGGACTCACCTGCAGCCCGTTAGCCAGCGTCACCGACGTGCATCCGTGCCCATGCGTACGGGTGTCCTGCAGTCAGCCTGTCACCCCCTCATACAGCGCCGTGCGGTGGCTCGACTGCGGGTGGGTGCCCCGGTGTCCACCCAGCCATGTGTCCGCCTGTCCAGGTGTGGGGGAAGGGGGCTGCCCAGACCCGGCGATTGGTGAGAGCCTGCAAGGTGCAGGCACCCCGAGTGGCATGGCGGGAAGGGCCGGGGAGGACCCGCTGGCTGAGCAGAGCCCTTGGCGTCTCTCTCGCTCCGTCTGTGTCCTGGAGGCTTCCCCCACGCCGAGGGTGACCAGATAGCAAATATGAAATATCAGGACAGAGTGTGTGTGTGTGGGGGTAATAGGCACCTAGATAAGAAAAATCCCCAAATACCGGGACTGTCCCTATTAAATCAGGACATCTGGTCACCCCACTCCTGCTCCATCAGGAATGGCAGCTGCCGAGCCCTCAGTGCGGGGGTCTCTCCACCACATTCCCCTGAGCCGTGTATCGCCTCTGCCCAGACACCGCCTGCTCTGGGGGGGCTGGGCCAGGCCCATCATGTCGGCGCTGGGCCCATTTCTCCCCACCCGCCCCCACATCAGATCATGGCCCCTCTGCCCTACTAACGGGGTGCCAGGTTAGGCCTGTTGCCCAGGCCCAGCGAGGGCTCTAACCCCTCCAGTGGCTGGGGGAGTGGGCCGGGGGGCTGGGAGTGGGGCAAGGCTAAAACAGGCAGCAGGAGGCCATCTTCCCCACTAGGCCCCCAGCCCCAATCCAGCCTAGGTTGGCCTTTCCCCATGGAGGGCTACTTGGAGAGCTGGGGGGACCAGCCCAGATCAGAAGAGCCACCGCCACCATGGGCATTAACTGGCGCTTGTGGGCAGAGGCCCAGGGCTGAATGGGCCAGGGAGCCGCAAGTCCCCCCCACCCCAGGGCAGGAAGGAGACAGGTGCCGAAGGAGCTGAGAAGGGGGAGAGCTGCCCCCCCTCACGTCCTGGGGGTGGCCACGTCCCAGGAGGTGGCACTGCGGCTGCAGGTGCTAATTTAGCTGGCGCTTGGTCAGTTAAGCGGGGCCAGGAAACTCTCCCAGCTACCAGACCCGGGCCCGAGGGAGGAGACTCAGCTCCCAGCAGGGGAGCCGCCCTTGGGGGAAAGGAGGCTGGAAGGCCCCTTCGGGCTGACCCCCTGCTCTCCATGAAGAGCTGTGTCCACTGGATCGAGGGGATGGGGTGACCCACCAATGGGGTCTGGGGAGGGGAAACTCCCCCCCTCCAAACTGAGTCCAGCTCCCGAGGGCACCTAAAGGAGTTAGGTGCAAATGGGGCTTTCGCTCCTGAATCATGAGGTGCTTTGGCAAGTCACCTGCTCTCTCTGGGCTCGGATCTCCAAGCCCCTCTAGCCCTGGGGCCAGCTCTGCTCTCGCCCCGTCGTCCCCTGGTGAGTAATGCACGGAGCCCTGGGGCCCCGGTGGGAGCCCTGGGGCCCCGGTGGGACCCCTGCCCAGCCAGGCAGAGACAGACGGACGGGCGGGCTGGGGCTGAGTCTGGACTACGGCGTTTAATGGAAACCTATTTGCCACGGCAGCACAGAGCACACACGGCGCGACGGACCCGCACACACACGCCAGGGGAAACGGGTTGGAGGGGGAGGGGGCCCACCTGGCTCAGGGGGCCGGGGCGGTGGTGGGGGGAGCTGGCTCAGGCGAGATGACACCGGGGGTAGGACACTGGAGGGCAGTTACATGAACCTACTGTCTCTACATGTTATTGTGCTCAGAGCCTTCCCGGGGGCGGCGGGCGTGTCCCTCCCAGGGCAGGACGGTGGGGACTGTCCAGGATGGGACATGCTCGGAAACCCCCTCCCCCACACTGGCAGCTCCCAGGGCTGCACAAGGGAAGGGGAAGCCTGGGCTCAAACAGGCCTGGAGGCGAGGGAAGTAACTTGGGAGTGTCTCTCCGAGCAGGATGGGCTGGGGGGCTCTGGGATACAGCCCCCCCAGAGCAGGGCAGAGAAGATTTTCAGGGGCAGGGCCCAGCAGGACCTTGGGGCAAGCAGCATCCCGGAGGAGGAGAGACCAAGCTGGGGGCGGAGGGGAAAGGGAAGGGAAAAGGACAGCAGGACAATCTCCGGGACAAACAGCCCCGAAGCAGGAGCTCCCAGATGTGGCTAGAAGGGATGACCCTGGGCTAACCCCTTCCATGTGTGGGACCTACCAGGACAAAGGCCACCCCCCCAGAGCAGGACGCAGGGGCTGGGACAGCAGGAGGGCGCTGGATGCAGCATTACAGGCAGAGCGACTTGCTATGGCTGCTTCGGAGCATGACTCCCCTGTGCTGAAACGGCAGGTCACGCAAAGTGCCACCCCATTCGCCCCTGGGGGCTGGGCTGGGGCCTCCCCAGCTGCAGGCTCCGGACCAGCCCTTCCTCCTTCAGCCCCATCCTCGAGCCAGTGCTTCTGGGGGCCGGCAGGGCGGGAGCAGCCCCTGTCCTGCGCGGTCAGCAAGCATCCAGCGTCCCCCCCGCGTCAGAGGGTCTGCACGGCGACGGGGTACAGCAGTGAGAGTTGCTCGGCCCCTTTGACGGGTAGCTCCCGCACCGTGTAGTAGTGGATGACCTCGGGGATGCTCTCGAAGGGGGCGCTGTTCTGGCCCAGCACATACTTGCTCTCCCTGGTCCTGGTGAACTTCATGTGCATGAAGCCCTGGCTGCTCCTGGGGATGGAGGCAAAGGGGAAAGATCATTAGCAACGGGCATCCCCTCGCATTGGAGCCACAGGAGTAATCCCATTGACCCTGAGCTCTTGTCTTTGCTGCGGTCAGCCACTAGAGGGAGATATGGTCATGCTAAGCAGAGCTGCTCAGCTGTGTGTCATAAGGCCTATACTGTTAGCTGTTGCTGGGGATTCTCCCTTATCTGAAACAGCAACAGCTGGTGGTTTTTGGAGCAGGAGGCTCCGAGTTCTAGCCCAGCTGCTGCCAAGTAGCCACAGTACTCAGCAGTCACTGGAGGCCATGTGATTTGCCATGATAGCATCCTCCTCATTGCACAGTGGTGGAATCTGAGGCCCCGGAGAAGCGGAAGCCACTCACTCACCGTCCCAGCAAACCAGTCCCAGCTACAGAACCCAGGAGCAACGCCTGGCCGCTTTGTCTGGGGATCGGAGCAGGGTCCTGCAATATCTCCAGGCCGGCGGATCCCAGCGCAGGAATGTTGCTGGTTGAGGAATCCCTGAGCACCCTGGCAGATTGCGTGATCCAAGCCAGCCAGGAGAGGGGCTGCTCTGCTCTCCAGAGCCAGGCTGGGGGCTACCTCGGAGACACCATGCAGAGATAGAGCCAACCCCAGCTCCCATCCCTGTGCGGGGATAAATATTTCAAAGCGTGCGGCGGGGGGAGCGGGGCCCGGGGATCAGAGCATGCTGCTGCGATTAACCCGATGAAATATTCATGCCGGCTGCTCCCCAGGCCGTGTGGCTCATTCTGTGCACAGACAGCCGACAAAGCGCCTGCCGGCCTGGCCCTTTGATGTGCTTGCCGACCGCTAATAAGAAGCAGATGTTCCAGGCAGAGAGTTCACGGGGAGCTACTTGTCGGGGGAGATTGTGCCCATGAGCCGGGGGAAGGGCCTGGAGGATCCTGGGGAGAGGAGAACGGGCCTCTTGCTCCTCCCCCATCCAAGGCTCTCCAAGCCCTTGACAGCCAGGAATGACTTTAAAACTTACCCACCCCAGGAGGGAAGCTTAAGGGCCTAAGTTTACAAGATGTTGATTCCCAGGCCCCTGCTCTGACCACTGGACCCCACTCCCCTCCTGGAGCTGGGAACAAGAGCCTTCTCCCAGGACAAGGGAGCCCAGCCCTCCGCTATGCTAACCCAGCAGATCACACATTGACCTAGGAGCTGGGAACAAGAGTCTGGTCTCTCATCCTCCCGCACAAACCCACTCGCCCATCGTTAAGCAGCCATGGGGTAAGAGGGAAGGTCCTCTCATGGATCAGTAACTGGTTTAAAGGCAGGAAACAAAGGGTAGGAATAAATGGTCAGTTTCAGAATGGAGAGAGGTAAATGGTGGTGTCCCCCAGGGGTCTGTCCTGGGCCCTGGGCTGTTCAACATATTCATCAATGATCTGGAAAAAGGGGTAAACAGGGAGGTGGCAAAATTTGCAGATGATACAAAATTATTCAGGGTAGTTAAGACCAAATCAGACTGTGAAGAGTTACAAAGGGATCTCACAAAACTGGGTGACTGGGCAACACAATGGCAGATTTCAAGTGAGCTGTAGCTCACGAAAGCTCATGCTCAAATAAATTGGTTAGTCTCTAAGGTGCCACAAGTACTCCTTTTCTTTTTACAATGGCAGATGAAATTCAACGGTGATAAACGCAAAGTAATGCACCTGGCAAAATATAATCCCAGCTACACATACAAAATGATGGGGTCTAAATTAGCTGTTACCCATCAAGAAAGCGAACTTGGAGTCTCTGAAAACATCCACTCAACGTGCAGCGACAGTCAAAAAAGCGATCAGAATATTTGGACCATTAGGAAAGGGATAGGTAATAAGACAGAATGTATTATAATGCCGCTATATGAATTCATGGTACATCCACACCTTGAATACTGCGTGCAGATCTGGTCGTCCCATCTCAGAAAAGATCTATTGGAATTGAAAAAGGTTCAGAGATGGATGATGGGGATGGAACAGCTTCTTGTAGGAGGAGAGATTGAAAAGACTGGGACTGTTCCATTTGGAAAAGAGACGACTAATGGGGGACAGGATAGAGCCGCGGTTCTCAACCAGGGGTCTGCACCCAGCCCCTAGCTACCCCTGCCTGCACCCTGAGCTACCCTCCACCCCCCGCCTGCATCCTGAGCAGTTTTCAAACTTTTTAACTGAGTCCCCCCCTTTGAGTTATATTTTTTGGTTGCATCCCCCCACTAGGGTGACCAGACAGCAAGTGTGAAAAATCGGGACAAGGGGCAGGGGGGTAATAGGTGCCTATATAAGACAAAGCCCCAAATATCGAGACTGTCCCTATAAAATCGGGACATCCGGTCACCCCACCCCCGGGAGTCAGGGGGTGGAGGTGGCGCTCCCTCCCTGGCCCCCGCAGTGCGGAACTGGTTCCAGCTCCGCCAGCCCTGGCCCCCGCAAACAGAAGTAAAACTATGCCTATGCCCAAGGGTCCCCCCCGGCCCGGAGCCCCGAGTTCCCCCCCGCCCACGCCCACTGGGCCCTGGCATTTTTAGAGCATGCTGAGGGGGCTTGAGCACGGAACAGGTTGAGAACCCCGGTGACAGAGGTCTGTAAGATCACGAATGGTGTGGAGAAAATGAATAGGTGTGAATAAGTGTTAGAGGTGTGAATAAGTGTTATTTGCTCCTTCACATAACACAAGAACCAGGGGTCACCCAACGAAATTAAAAGGCAGCAGGTTTAAAACAAACAAAAGCCTCCAGGAGAAGGTCACGTCCATAGGGCACGACCAGGGCTGGCTCCACAGGGCCGGAGAGCAGAGACGTCCCCCTGTTCGGTGGGCTCTGGCACTCGGGGCAGTGACTGACGACACCATGTTACCACCCCTCAATGCCCCCGTCACGTCACCTACATCAACCCCCTTGGCGCCAGGAGTCGAGATGCCCCAACACAACGCACCACGTGTCCCAGGAGCTCTGGCTCCCCAGTGCCAGGGAGTGGGGCAGGAATGTAGTGAGCACAGCGCCCGGCCACCCCCCACCAGCCCCCCGCGGCCTGCGAGGCATCCGACGCCTGGAAGAAGTGAAGTGTATTGATGCCACCGCTCCGCCGCTCTCCTCCGATACCGTCGAGCCACGTCAGTTTCTGCAGCCCGTGTCTCCATCTCCTCCCAGGCCAGGCAACCAGCTTCTCCCCTCCACCCCCCCCCACACCTCCCCCCCCCCCTTGGAGGTGACAGCAGGTCACAGGCAATGACACACCGGCTCTCCTGCACTACACAGGGATTCAGAGAGATGCTTTCTCTCCCACGCACGTACCGTGGGCATGAGCCCTCGCTCCGACCTGCAGAGAGAGGTGTCATGGGAGCCCTGGGAAGTGAGAGAGAGAGGGAGAGAAAGGGGGAGTCTGGTGGTTAGAGCAGGGGGAGTGGGAATCAGGACTCCTGGGTTTTACGCTTGGACCTTGTAGTGTGGTCTAGCCTGGGACTTTCAAAGGAGTTTATGGGAGTTAGCTACCAACTTGCGCTTAACCCTCCTGGGAGTCAGACCTCCTGGGTTCTATACCCAAGTCTGCCAATATCTCACCACTGGGGACCAGACCTTCCCTGCTCTGTGCCTTGGTTTCCCCATCTTTGCAACAGGGCTAACAGCTCCCCCTCGTGGGGCCGCCAGTTTAATTAATGACCGCCCACCTGGGAAGCTCCAGGTGGCTGGGTCATAGAGCTGCAGGGCGCGAGCACCCCCGCTGCAGACAATTCCCCGACCCAGCAGCTCTCCGCAGAGGCTGGGAAAGACAGCGAGTGGGCGTCTCACCTGAGTGACAGGGAGTAGTCGTGGTGGCTGGTTTCACTGTTCCGCACCAGGTAGCTGCCTTCTTTGCACAGAGTCAGCAGGGTCTCGGCGTCCGCTCTGCTGATGGAGCCATGGTACCACCTGGGGTGGGGGGAGAGGAGAGGGTCACACAGCGACAGACACAGAGCTCCCAGTGCTCACAATTTCACCATCAGCCTTGCGATACCTGCTGCTTTTAGGAATGTAGAACACAGGGCTAGACGGGAGCTCCTGGGTCTTTGGGCCAGTCCCCTGCTACCCAGGCAACACCATTGTGTCATTTCGGCCATAAACCTAGCAAACTCTATCTTCAAACAAGTGAGGTTGGTTTCCCCCACTCCTCCTATTGGGAGGCTGCTCCAGAACCTCCCTCCTCACACATCTTCTTTTAGTTGCCTGCCTTTTCTCAAATCCCCAGCTACTGGAGTCAGGTGAATACAGGAGGGATAGCTCAGTGGTTTGAGCATTGGCCTGCTAAACCCAGGGTTGTGAGTTCAATCCTTGAGGGGGCCCTTTAGGGATCTGGGGCAAAAATTGGGGATTGGTCCTGCTTCAAGCAGGGGGGTTGGACTAGATGATCTCCTGAGGTCCCTTCCAACCCTAACCTTCTATGATCTGTTCCTGGCAAAGGAGAATCTCAGCTTTCCTTTAAAAGATTAAGTGGGCATCTAGCTCTCCTAGTTGCAGAGAAAATCCTGAAAACACAACCCAAGAGCACCCTGAAAGCTCAGAACCAGGAAGGTAAATTGAAAGAACCTCCTCTCCACAATGTTTTTAATCCCAGGATTGTTCAAGGCCATCTCTTGGTTTTTGGGGGCCTGACTCAGGAATTTTGAATGCTTGGGGTTGGCCACGCTTCAGGCAAGGTCTGTGTTATCGTGGCAAGAGCACAACCTCCTGTTCCCATCCCACCCCTCAAGCTTCTTCTCCATCCCCCTGGACCTCATGATGTCTTTTACACCGGTGGAGAGTGGGAGCAACACGCTACCAGAACCTTTGCCCTGGTGTGAGTGACCACCCAAGACATAGGGTGACTGAAGGCGGGGCCTGTTGCTGCAATCAGCTGGGCTGCAGGAGACACAAGCCAGGCCTGTCCGCACGGGGCACTCTGGAATGACTTAAATACCTACCCCCTGTGGGCCCTGGCCGCGGCAGCAGCAGTGTCTTCTGGGCACGGATCCCAGAATGCCCAGTGGTGGTCCGAACTGTGGTGCATTGTGGGGCGATTGCAAACCATCCTCTGGGAGGAGAGAGGTCAAACTCCCAGATTTCCTCCAGGGTCCCGAGGTCTGTAACAGTTTCCGTGGCATGTGACGGTGCTCGTGGCTCAAAGCTCCCGAGCTCAGCGCTGTGTTCTGACCAATGACCCGTACGCACACCTTGCCCCAGTGCATCTTGGGACGAATACATTATGGGCTCAGAGCTCTGGCCACAGCTGCACCCAGCATGGCTGGCTTGGGGGCATGATACAGCCTCAGCTCCCGCCCTGTGTGGCCTGCCATCAGGGCATCCGGAGCAGGCAGGGAACCATGGATCTAAAGGATGCTGGTGCCCATCCAGCTGGCAGGCTTGCCCGCCCCTGGGACTTACACCTGCTTCTCCAGTGGCAGCGAGGGGTCCACGCGTTCGGCCATGGGGGGACTGCGCTCCGGGCTGTGCGATCGGCCGTGCTTGGGGCCTGCCGTCAGGTGCTTTGGCGGCTGACGGCGCTCTTTGTTCAGGGAGGAGGGGCGCTCCCAGTCCGGGTTTTCGAACTGCACTGCTTGGGTGGGGGGAAAAATGCATTACACGGGGAGGGAGAGGTGGCAGGCTGCTCCTGGTTGGCCACAGTCTCCCCGACCCCGGCTCAGCGGAGCGCCGAGTCCCCCTTGCTGGTTCCACCCTCCGCTGCCAGTGAGCCATAGTCTCATCAACCCAGCAGCAGCCTTGGGCCCCACACCTGGGTACCTGGAGGACACTGCACCCATCTCTAGCCAGTATCATTGGTCCAGGGCCAAAGGAGGGTGAACTCCTGCCCCACAAATGCCACCCCAGCCCTGTACCCAGCCTGGTGGGGAGAAGCTCCGTCAGGCCCGACCCTTCCTTGGATTCCTCTTAGCTTCAGCCCGCGTACCCCGGTGCCTGTCTGCCCACACGTCCATCGAGATGGGGGACGCCGGGCGTCTGGAACCCAAGCAAACAACGTCAGAGCTCTGGATCCAAACTCTGCCCTCAGCCCCACTCTCTGTGCCTGATCCCTGCCACCTGAGCCTCAGAGGAACCCCGCATCCCATTTCCCAGTTACATTACTTTGCTCCTTCGGCTCATTGGGCCGGACTCAGAGGCCACTGAAGCCAATGGGAAGACTGCAGAGGCTGCAGGTTCGGGCCTGTGGCTTCTTTGCAGCAGGGGTCTTGAGAACCGGTCTGGGACTGGACTGGAGCCCCTGGCCTGATGGGCCCTGAAGGTGCCATTAGTAATGCCACATCCTTTCCCTCTGGTGCCAACTCCCACTCCTATGCCGGGGCAGGGCAGGAGGCGGGGGCACCAGGTCCCTGCCACTCCCTCCCTTTTCTGGCACCATCAGGGCTGCTTCCCATGACTGGCTCTTGTTAATCAATTACATCCCGATGGCACCTTTCACCCTAGAGGATCCCAAAGGACCACGGAGCTGCAACCCCAGTGACATGCAACCCACCTGGGGCATCAGCTGGACACACAGCCCCACGGGGGCCAGGAGATTGTAGTCGAAGGACTCTAGGGTGAACCCCCTGAGCCTACTGGAAAGTGCTCTGGGGGGTTTGATGCTCAGGCAGAGCAGCAGGGATTCCAGGGCTCATGATCTCGCTGGAAAGGGCCCCCCACAGGAAATGCCTGGAGCTGAAGCCACCTGCCTAGGCAGAATGAGCTTCCTGGGGATTTCACACCTGAGGCTTAGCCCCAGAGCCATGCCCTCCCAGGCTCCAGCAGAGCCCCATGTCTCTGGCACTGTGCCGCTCCCCTCCCCACAGAGACTGGCCCTTCCCGGGGGCTCTGCCGGCTCAGCGGAACAGGGCGGGACATACCTGCGAAGGCCCGGGAGATGTGGTCTTTCTTCCACTCCCAGGGCTGATCGTACTCGTCCGCTGGCCGCTCGTCGTCTTGGGGCAGGCGGCTCTCGCGGGCCGGGCTGGCCGGGCCGCCCTCGGGATCTCGCTCCTGCTCCTCATAGGGGGTGTCGTAAAGCTGCAGGCCCTGCAGGCACTTCTTCCCCCGCCGGCCCTCCCAGTCGCCTTTCCCCTGGAAATCTGGGGGTCCAGCGAAAGGGGATTAGTTGGGCAGGGCCAAGGCTGGGCCGAGGAGCCCGTGTATAGACGTGTGCCAGGGCATGGCGGGCAGACAGCAGGAGGCCATGTGCAGGCGAGGGGGTGGGGAGGGTGGCAGTAGATGCTCATATACCTGGAGGGATTGGGTGCCACACAGCAGGTGCCCACATGCATGGGTGGGTACACTGGGTGCCTGGTGCCCACATGTGTGGTGGGTACACTGGGTGCCAGGATCCCATGTGCGGGGGGGAGATTGGGTGCCAGGTGCCCATGTGCAGGGAGGGTACATTGGGTGCCCTCCTACTCACCCAAGGGGCTAGCGAGCCAGGCAGGGGAGTTGATAACAGCCTTGTCCTGCCCCTTGGGCACAGGTGCCTCAGTGAGAGCGAGAAGCAGCGTCACAGAGCCCTGCCCCAGTCCCCCTGTGCAGTCGCAGCTAGGAGCTGCTCCATGCAGCACAGGGTCCTGCCCCACCCCTGGCGACTGCTCGTGCCCTGGTGTCTCTCACCTGCCACCACCCGCTGGGCGTCATAGGGCTCCATGTAGCCGTTGTTCTCCGGCACCGGCTCCTTGGTGTCCCCTGGCTGCTCCTGGCGGGCATCGAAGGGGTCAGAGTACTCGCTGTCAGCATCGCCCTGCGGGCAAGGAGGGGCAACACTCAGCGCAGAAAAGGCAGGGCCAGGCCCAGCGGCACCCAAACATCCCGGCTGCAGGAGCAACCCGAGGAAGCAGCCCAGGGCACTGATCAGCCCTGCCAGCAGGAGTCCCTCTCCCCCAGCACCCAGATCGGTGGGAATTAAAATAAGAGACAAAGGGACTTCACTGCGTCCACACGGATGAGAAAATGTTAAAACAGCCTTTAAGTATGCTCAAGGGTGTTATAAAGACTATGGTGACCAATTGCTCTCCGGGACCACTGAAGGCGGGACAAGAAGCAATGGGCTTAATCTGCAGCCAGGGAGAGTTAGGTTAGATATTAGGGAAAACTTTCTAACTCTCAGGGGAGTTAAGCTCTGGACCAGGGTCCCAAGGGAGGTTGTGGAATCCCCATCATTTGGGGTTTTAAAGAACAGGTTGGACAAACCCCTGTCAGGGATGGTCTAGGGTTATTTGGTCCTGCCTGAGTGCAGGGGGCTGGACTAGGTGAGCTCACGAGATCACTTCCAGCCCTACAATTCTACGATTTCTCTATGGACATAGGAGTTAAACTAGGAATCCAGTCAGAGCCAGGTAGCAGCCCAAACCTGAGGACACCAGCAAGCTCATCTCATCAGAGGCCAGGTGAAAAGTGCAGAGAGAAGGAGAGGAGATGTGAGCCTGGAAAGCCCTGAGTCCTACTTCCAGCTTTGACACCAATTCGCTGCATGATCTCGGGCAAGCCCCTGCCTCAGTTTCCCCATTGGTGACACAGGGCTAGTGACACCAGCCTGCCTTTCACATGCTTCCCATGGGTTTGCTGGGAGATCTTTGCAGAGTGTGATGGAGAAGGAAGGCATTAAGACCCAGATTAGGCTCCTAAATACCACTGAGGATCTGGCCTAAGCTTTGTCACAGCCGATCCCACATCTCTGGAGGCAGAGAGGCAGCAAGCGAGCTCAAGTCTGAGCCTGATGTACAGCTGCAGAGACAGGGAGTGCTACGCCCTGGGTGGAGAGGTAATAGAAAGCAATGAAATCAGTGGGACTGTGTGGCCTTGTGGCTTTGGAGCCTTTCGCTTCTGGGGTTCTGGTCTGAATCCAGGCTGGGGCAGGGAGGCCTGAGAGAAGCTGCCATCCGGTGGCTGCTCAGTGCAGGGCGTTATTTGGTCTCAGGGCCATCTCAGAGCTGGCAGAACGCATTTAGCGCTGCCTTGGCTGCCAGTCTCAGCAGGATGGAGACCGCTCTCCCCGCTCCTCTAGGTCAGGGGGTAGAGGCGCGTAGGCTGGCCAGAGAGCATCTGTGTGTGTGTACGCGTGCGTGTCTTGTCCTGTGACAGCCCAGAGCGCACCCGCTCTGTGGGTAAAGAAAACATCGGCCCGCAGCGCTGTCAATCCACCTCATTTCTCAGCGCTCAATTCACAGACACAAAAGGGGAGAAGCAGGGTAATTGCTTCGAGGAGCGGCTGAGAGGCAATTGCCATGCGCCTGTCTCATTTGCCTGCAGCTCTCAAAACATTTCCTCCGCGGGCTGTTTGAGCGTGTCTAACACGCTGTCGGGGGCAGCGAGCGGCAAGCAGGGGGACAAGGCCTGACAGCCAGGGATCAGAGATGGGGGAGCGGTCCGATTGGCACGGGGACATCTGCCCCTTTGCAGGGCGCGGGCGGAGGGTCGGAGATGGAGGAGCTCGCCAGCCGGTGGGGGACCCCAGCATTCGCGTGGTGCTGGCAGAAGCTGATGCTCATCAGGGAAGACAGAGGAAATGGCAGCCGGGCTCGAACTGGCACCTGCAGCTACTGTGAGGAAAGGGCACTAGCCCAACCGATCACAGCCCCTCATGCTGGGATCCTCACGCCAGTAGCATGAGGCCTGGGTGGGATCTGGGTGGGAAAACAGGCAGGGCTGCTGATCAGCTGTACTCATTACCAACCCCAGGGAGCTCTCTGCCAGGGGCAGGGCGTTAGCCCCTGTGTCCTGCTCAAATTCCAGATGGGGAAATGACTGTCTGGCTTCTTTTTCACCTCCTGAACTATTGCGCAGTGTTGCTGTGTGCTCTTAAAGCGGCCATGTTCCAGCCCAGAGATGGCTGCATTTCGGGGCTGGGTGAGTGAGCCCTATGCAGAGGCACTGTTAAACAGCTGTCACCGGTCACCTGAGAGGTGGCTGCATTTCAGCAGTGGATGAATCATCCCTGTGCAGTGTTGCTGTGCACTGTTAAAACAGTTACCGCGTTCCACCCCAGAGGTGGCTGCATTTCAGTGCTGGGTGAGCGTTCCCTGCATATGTAACATGCTTTGGGAAGAAAGGCACTGTATAAATGTAAGGTGTGTGTATGCAACAACTTCACGCATAGAGTTAAAGAAAGATAACTCCCTGTGACGATGTGACGCAGCAGGGAGGGGGGAGTGTTGACCTGGGAATGTGCCCTGGAGATGGGAGACCTGAGAGCTGAGAGCCTGTCACCTGAGCCAGGAGGGGGAGGGGGAGGTAACACCTCTGCCCAGGAATGTGGACAGAGGCTGCAGCAGGGAACCTGCTGGGTGGGTTTAGTTTCAGTTTGGGGCTGGGTGGAGGAACACAGGGAACCCCAGGGCTGGGGTCTAAGCTCCCTGCTCCCCCAGAAGGACTTGACTGAGGGGTCCTGGGTGTACCCACAAACTCTGTTTTGGACTGTGTTCCTGTTGTCCAATAAACCTTCTGTTTTACTGGCTGGCTGAGAGTCTCAGTGAATCCCGGGAAGAGGGGTGCAGGGCCTGGACTCCCCCACGCTCCGTGACACTCCCCTAGTGAGAAGTATGGCCAGCAAAGGCCAGCATCCAGCAGGGACTGTCTCTGAACGCAAGGTGATCGGTAGCAGAGAGGAACATGTGGCCCAGTTCAAAAGGGAAACGAAAACATCCCCTAGGACACTACAAACAAGGTCAAGGAATAGTTTAGGGGGGAGCAGAAATGTGCTTGATATTATCACGGTGAGAACACAGGGCCTGACTTCCCCTTTCATATACTCTGGCGTAAACCAGCAGTAATCAGAGTCACTCCAGAGTAAATTCTGGTGTAAATGAGAGGAGGACCAGGCTCTTTGAGAGGGGACATGGTCTAGTGATCAACACACAGGGCGTTCTGACTCCTGGCTCCTCTTCCTAGCTCAGGCACTGATCGTGGGCAAGTCTCAGGGTAGGTCTACACTGCAGGCGGGGAGGGTGATCACAGCAGGCATGGACATGCCAGCGCTAGCTGGGATCTAGCTAGGTCAGACACCAACAGCAAAGAAACCCTGGCGGCGTGAGCTTCGGGGGGGTGGGGGGGGGCTGTACATGTCCCCCAGCCAGGACCTGGGTACGCACTGGGGGGGATGAGCCTGTGCTGAAGTGTTTGCTGCCATAGCTTCACTGCTGTTAGTACCTGAGCTCGCTAGAACGGAGGCTCAGGTATGTCCATGCGTGCTGTGATCACACTCCCCGCCTGCAGTGTAGACCTACCCTGGGACGTCCACACATGCTGCAGTCACGCATCCCCAGCTGCAGCGTCTCCATCAGCGCAGGGGGGTGCCAATACGTACCCGCTTTACCGAGGCACTATCAAGTAAACATCATATTATTGCAGTGCTGCCTAGCGATCCCAACCAAGATCAGGGCCCCCCTTGCCCTGGGCACTGCATGTTCATATAGTGAGAGACACCCCCTGCCCAGAAACGCTTATGATCTAAAGAGAGAGGATGGACGGGGCCCCAGAAGGGAAGGGATTTGCCTGAGGTCACGTAACAGGGCAGTGGCAGAGCCAGGACCAGAGTCCAGGTGCGCTAGCTCACTGCTCTCACCACTAGACCACGCTGCTGCTGAGTTTGGCAGTGCTAGTCTTACGGCAGAGTAGCGACCTCTCTAAAAGAAACGGGGGCTTTCTTCCTCCGGGTAACCCACTAAAGGAATGCAGTCCTAAGCCCCCCTCCCCCACCAGCCTTTGGCTGCATGGTTACCCAGGATGGTTAGACTCTCATGCAGTCAAGGTCAGATCTAGGTTATTTCTGCCTGTAGAGCTGCTCACCTTCCTAATGGCTTGTGACATAACCTGCAGCTGCCGTCAAGCCCAAGCCCTCCTGCAGAACAGCCGCGTTACAGGATCACAGGGATGATTCAGGTGTGGGTTAGGTGAGCTGGCAGTCTGTGGTTGACAGCCTGAATCCATAAACCGGGTACAACCTCCTCCCAGCTCACCCCTCCACCTGATCTCGCGCAGAAATCCTCGGGCCTCTCGCAGGGGGTGGCTGGAGTTCGGCATCCGAAGCACCGTCGCTCCCGGTATTAAATGTCACCCCCTTATCGTCACCAATGAATTAACCATCAAAGGCAGAGGCTGAAGATGAGAATTATGGCTGATGCTTTAATTATGACGAGGAGGCAGAGCAGAGGAGTGGGGAGACGGGGGTTCTAATCCCAGCTCTGCCGCTGTCGCGTCCCCTCTCCCCGGGCCTCACTTCCCCCTGGGGGGACAGCGACACTGACCTCTCCCACAGTGGGGCTCGTTAGCGATCGCTGGGCATGCTGGGATGGGGTTATGGTGACACGTGGGCTGCATGTGGAGAGAGGTGTGAAAAATCCCTCTGGGCCAGCGGCACCTCTGCCTGCCACACGTCACTGCTAATAAGGCTGAGAGCAGGGGTGCTAAGGAGGGCAGGAACCTGTGATCCCAGCAGCAGTCGCATGGAGCTGAGCCTGCCAACGGCTTCACGCTTTGGTCTGGATTTCACACCCTCCTCCATGAGCTCACTGACGTGCTGACGAACCCCTCGCCTGCTGCACCGGCCCTGTGTTACAGCCACTGCAGACCCATCCCCATCATCTGTGACCCCGACAGAGGGGTCAGCGCGCTGATCTCTCCTTTGGCAGCACTCCCAGCCTGTTGAGTCCTGCCTCCCCACTCCTCTGTGCCACACACTGGCAATCCCCCCTCTGTACCCTATGTCTACCCAGCAATCACAAGACATATGCAAGCTGGTTTTGTCCACACTCGCTTGCTAAATATAGACTCCTGGGTACAAGCTCGCCCGGGTCCTTCGGAATGCGCTCGACCAGCTAACCTGGGCTTCTGCCCCTGCTGCCATGACTTCACTGCTATGCTCACTGGGGTACGCGACACATCCTACCGTCGCCCCTCCTGACTGCAGGGTAGACGTATCCATGGCGTCCCCCATCTCCTTCATGGAACAATAGCGCCCACAGTTCAATGGAAAATGGAAAGGATGCGTCCAGAGTCCAGTGAACGGGGCAGAGGTGTCCCCGCATCAGTGCCCATGGGCACGATCTGAATGGGCAAGCATTGGCACAGCTACCCCTAAGCAGCAGCAGAATAATACGCCCATGGATCCACTGCTCCAAAGAGGACCACTGAGTGCAGCAGGTTGCAACCCCTATTGAGCCAGGCCTGTTACAGACTTAGCCCACTGCTGTTCCTGCACCACTGACATGCCCAGAATGAGTGATTGCTGGACAACCCCAGGTATACGCTGAGCGACGCTCCAAAGCTGCCCCCCTCCCACCTCCCCATGCAGTTCAGCATGCTCTCTGCATGGGCAGCTCCGGAGGACTAGCATGGTTGGATCTGGGCTGGAGAGACGAGGCTCAGTGACTGTCACAGGAACAAATACAGAAAATGCCATTGGGAAAGTGTTACATAGCATTGATAATGACCGGTATTCCAGGAGGACTGAGACGCCCCAGATGAGACCAGGCCTCATAGCACTAGGCATTGTACCTATGCGCAGTGAGACCTGAAAAGCTTACAATCTAACCAGACGAGACAGACAGGCTGCAGCAAAGGACGGGGCATTTTAGCCCCATGTTACAGATGGAAAACCATGGCCTGAAAGAAGGGAAGGGACTTGCACAAGGTCCCACTGGGCATTGGTGGGAGAGCTGGGAATCAACTCTAGGTCTCCTGGGCCCCAGTCCTCAGCTCCAGAGCTATGAAATCAGAAAGTCGGCTCTTTCCCTGATGCTGTCAGGAAGGATCATTTATTGCACATTTCTTGCCAGAAGGTGAAACAAACCGAAAAGCGTGGCTGCCGCTTGAAACCTTTCCCTGCCCATGGAGCCCCAGGCTGCGGTCCTCTCTCCCCCTCCCTCCTTCCTTTCTCCAATTCATGGGTATATCCCACAATACCCAGCAAACTCTCCCCTTGGGCGTAATTGCACACACCGCCAAAATGCAGCCGTCTCTGGGGCACAGCCAGCAGCCGTTTCGTCGTAATAGCTCACCCCAAAGCACTGTAGGATGGGAAGCGAACAATGCTGCATCTAACTGAAACATCGGGATGAATTCATGGAAGCCCCGCATCCTCACCCAAGTCGGCCTCTGGCCAGGCTGCTGGGCTGAACACACCAGCTCTTACAGAAAGCATTCAGGATCAGCTGGACATCGCCCGCTGTGCAGTGCGCCCTACCACTTCCAGAAGAGCCCTGACTCAGAGCAAAGAGCACCAGGTATAGAATCCCCCTGCATGCAGCACCTTGGAAATCCCCATCCAAGCAGCAACCTGACCCAGCCCTGCTTAGCATGAGGGATGTGATGTGACCACAGGCCGAGAGGGCGAGGCCTGAGTGTGGTCAGACCCCTGAAGGACACCGGCTCAGTAAATCCCCTTGCTCCCAGCACCTACCTGCTCTTGCCTGCCTTTCAGCTCCTCAGCTGCCGTCTCCAACAGAGCTTTGCTCCTGTTCAGGTCGGTGGACTCCACTTTGATAAGCCTGTGTTTTGGGGAGGTGTATTTCCCTTCCGCACAGCCACCAGCAGCTGCCATATTTGGGGAGCCCGAGCCCCCGGGATCTGGCTCCAGTTTATTGTCGCTGTCTTCATAGGGATCCTCAAAGTCCAGGCTCTTCTGTGCTCTGTAAGCCTTTAAGATCTCACTCTCTGTGTAGTCGGGCTTGGGGGGCTGTGGAGGAGACCTCCTGCTCCCAAAACTCAAGTAATCTTTCAGCCACTTGGCCATTTGTTCCAGCCTGACAACAAAACCCTGACCTCTCTGGGCAGAACAAGTGGGTTTGGAAGAATTCTCAAGCTGCCATCAGATAAGCCTTAGCGGCTCCCCATGATTTATAATCCAAATTGGGTGTCATTCATCTTCCTTTCAGGAGACCCTGAGCATCGAGAGGTCTCCAATGTTTATGTCTCAGACTGATGTCTTATCCCAGAGCGAGCTGCTCCAGGAGTTGGAAATGAAATTTCCTCTCTCCCTTTAATAGAAGAGGGTTTCAAAGGTGTTTAACACAAAATGAAAAGCAACACACTCCTGTCTGGAGATCCTATAGACCTTATGAAATAAAATACTTACATCAAACCAGATCTCTGTGTGGGGGTTGGATCACGGAAGGTTTTCACATTCTATTACCAGTTCAAATGCAATGGACAATTGAGGGGAGAAAAAGTCTTTTTTTTTAAAAAAAAATTCATCTCCCCTGCACTAAGCTTCAAAAAATAGACACACACAGCCAAAAACCTGTCTCGAATGAAAGCTCCAGAGTGTCTTTCCAAGAGATCGGTTTTAATCCCTAAAACGGATTTGTGATACTGAGCATTTACAAAGCATTAGCGCTTTTAAAGGAGAAAGAAAGAGAGAGAAAAGAAATTTACTAGTTCATTATGGAACGATCAGATCTAAGCAACAATAGAGCATCCCGCAAAGACAATTTTCTATGGTCTGGAAAGAAACATTTAAAAAACAAAAACAACCCTAGACAATGAACACCTCACCCGTTCAAACACTAGCCAGGCACATTAATGTCCATTTTAAAACTGCCTTTACAAAGTTCCTCTTAAATACATAAATATATAACCACCGGTTCTCGTAAGTCTTTGTCTATCCAGTTAGAATCCTTTAAGAGATCCAGGGAACGGAATCACCTCCCAGCTACCGTTTCTTGTCAGATACGAAGCTGTGTATATATTTATTTCCCATCGCCACCAGAAACTTCCTTGGTTTACAGTTAAGGTTGCTGAAGCGTCAAACCCTCACACACGCAATTCCTGGACAAACAAGACAATCTCCAGTACACATTGGCACACATCCATCATTCGGTTTTTATTTCTGGTGAGGGGGAAAGAGAGTGATTTATTCCAAAGCCCAAATAAGCAGAGATCTTACCCCCAAAAAAAAAAAAAAATCAAACCTCCTCCCTCTTAAGAGACATTCACAAAAGCAGGACTGGAAAACTTTAGCAAAAGTCTAGCTTGGAAGAGTCCAGTTATAGCTTTCTTCTCCTTTGTTAGATTTTGAGAGGGTTGTTATGATGCTTTCCCTGAGAGCTCGTCTCCTTTACAGGATCCAGGAAAGTAACTGCAAACACAAAACAGCCTGAACAACTGCAACAGTGATCTCCAGATACCACCAGTAGCTTTTTGCAAGGCAACTGCACAAAGAAAAGGGGGCTGGGGTGGGAAGAGACTTTTCAGCCTTTTGCATCCATCAGTTTCTTGTTTTCAGGGACCTGCGGGCTACTTTTGGGAGGAAGGATGGCAGGAGCTGCAGCTTCAGGAAGCCGGTCATAGTTTTGATGCGGTTGTTGGGATGATTTGGGGAAAGGCGGGAGATAAAAAAAAAAATCGGTGGCTGGAAGGTCTGGAAGCCTCTTTGCAATCGTTGCTCCTGATACGTCAAAGGGTTTTTCGCCTCCTCCTCCTGGCCCTATGTTTTTTGCAGGCACAGCTCCCTCTAGTTTGCAAAGGTTACAGAGACCTTCAGCAAGAAGCAAGGCACCAGCTGGAGGGACAGATACCTAGCACCCCCCCTTCCCGGCTCTCAAAGAAGTGTCATTCCCCTGCAACAGGAAAAGGGAGGAAGGAGAGAAAATGCCCTTTCTCCAGATCCCTGCTCTTTATGGAGCATCCCCTAGGGAAGCATCAATAGATTCAATTCCTCCCAGAGGACAGAGCCTAGTGAAACTGACCAGGGGAAAGGGAGGGAGGGAGGGATAAAAGAAGCTGAAATTGAGCAGGCAAAAAGAAAGTTGCATGTATGCATGGAGGGAGGGTTTAAATCTCTTCCTTTTTTAGCCTTCTCCATCCCATCTTCCCTGGTTGTCCCTGGCTAGACATGCCGGCTGCTCCTTGGCGCCTAGCCCAACCTGAGGTGTGAAATTGCCAACTGGCTCTCCTTGCTAGAGAGAAGGTGGCTGTAAATAAAGAACAGGGAGATCGGGGAGAGAGGGAAAGTGGAGGGAGGGGGGAATTAAAGGCGAGGGCAGCTGGAGGTGGAGAGAGAGAAACTGAGCCGATAGGAATTAAGGAAAAACAAACACAACAACGATGCTGGATGTATGGATTAGAACGAGATGCGATCAGGTCTGTTAAAGTGGCAGCTGGTTGCTCCCTGGTGGGTTGGGAGGGGACGAGCATTTGCAGCTTTGACAGGCCAGGTTATTTTGCGTGGGGAGATGAAATACTATTTTGCAAGCCAAATTTCACCTGGGCGGTGGGGGGCACCTTAAATTTTCTTACTGGATGTGTATCAGCACTAGTGGCAGCAGCAGGGGGAAATCGAGGCTGGGTGGCTCGAGCACTGGCCCGGCTGGGGAGCCAGGAGTGCTGGGTTCTAATCCTACCTCTGCCACTGACCTACCACGTGCTCTTGGGTAAATCGTGTCCCCTTCTGCTGACTATTTAGACTGTGAGGTCTCTTGAGCAGGGACTGTCTCTATGTCTCTGTACAGCCCCGAGTACAATGAGGCCATGATCTCAGGGCAGGCCTACACTGCAATGGAAGGTGTGCCACGTAGGCATACCCAAATTAGCTTTAATCTAGTTAGCAAGGCTACGAATAGCGGTGAAGACATGGCGGCATGGGTGTCAGCCCGGGCTAGCAATGCAAACACGTACATAGCCCGGAGCGCGGCGGGGGGTTTGTACGGCTGATGCTGAAGAAGTCCATGCCACCACGTCCTCACTGCTATTTGCCGCCACGCCAGCTAGATGAAAGCTAATGTGGGTTTGCCTACCCAAGCTCAATCCTCTCCCCGCAATTGCAGTTCAGTTGGAGTGTAGAGATACCCTCAGCTGGGACTTCTGGGTGCTACTGTAATAAAAATACATTCATAAGAACTTATATAGCTTTAAAAATATCCTTGGGGCTACATGGATGTGTGTGTGTCTGAATGCTGCAAGCCCTGGAAAACTGGGCTCACAGGTGTGGTGTATGGAAAACTATTAACATTGTAAAGCTATCAATTTAAATGCTCAGGGGTTTCCTGGTCCTGCAGGCAGGAGCCTCTGTAGGGAAGCATGACCACAGCAATCAGTTTGCAGCCAGGGAGCCTAGAGTAACAAGGTGGGGTGAGTTGTACCTCTGGGAGCAGCCTGCTTTGTCTCTCTCTGCTTTTATCATTCTGAATTCTACAAAACAAAGCAGTGCTAGGATGCAACCTTCCAGCAAGACTATTTTATGTTTTCATCTCACTTCTCTATTTCTATGTTACAAAACATAACAACAGGGAAGAGAAACAGGCTCTTACTTCGAGCTGATTAGAAAACATTCACGAAAGTTGGATGAGTGGACATTTGAAACACCACCTCATTTCTCAGTTTCTCATTGCTCCTAATTAAGGCTCAGGCCTGCATGTTCTTCCATGCGGGACTGATACCAGTGGGTTTCGACGGACATAGATCTACTTGCAGGATGGGGCGGGGGGGCCCTTACCTGGTGTCCTTTGAGGTTAAGAGGGCAAGCGCATGAGGGCTCTGAAGAGCTACTAGCACTCAATTTGCTGCATGGCAGCTAGGCCATGGCTCCTGCAGCCATGGTCCTGAAGTACCTGCTCAAGGCAAGGTGACTCTGTATGGAAACAAGAGTCCATCTACCCAGAGCAGGAGCAGGGCCCTACAGCTAGATCCTCAAAATTATTTGAGTGCCTAACTCCTAGTGGTTGTTAGTGCTCTGTGGTTGCGTTGTTTCTTTATGATGGATAAAGACCTATCACTATACATTCAAATCTTGTATACTGTTTTTTATGGAGGTCTCTATGGACAACTGGAAAACTAGTAGGAATACACCACCATATAGCAACCAAGGAAGTGGAACTTGAGCCACCGTGGGAGGGTTTTTTTAGTCAGACTGTTCAAAGCTCTGGGCCTGTTTGTTTTTGTTCTCCTTGATTTAACTCAAAGGTCTGACAAACGCTCAGGAGAAAAGCTGTCTTTAAAGATTCCTCCCCACTTCAGTTAAGGGCTGAGACCCCTCCCTTCCCAGTTCTCTTGTCTTTCAAGGAGACACCCAGCAGAAAAACAGGGAAGACCGGATTTAATCTTTCTCATTTTTCTAAGGTTAAAAACCCCCTCACTTTTTCTTTTTTGGAGAAGGAAATGAAATCTTTCAAGTCTTCTTCGTTCACCATCAAGCAGCCAAAAAGGGCACAGTTTCATTGTTTTCCCTTTAAAGCAGAGAGACATCCTTTCAACCTGAGCCCTGAACTCTGCCGCTGCTTCCCTTTGAATGCTCTGTCTTTGGTACATTGTAGTTCTGACCTCAATGTAGCTTTTTGTACTTAGTATTCATAAAACCGGTACCGTTCTTTGCCACCTCCTGGGACCCTAATCTATTCCTCTGTTTCAGAACAAAGAACCCCTCCCCCGCCCCTGCTCCCCAATCAGCAATTGAGAAGTAGCCTAAATGTGTTTCTAGGGGGAATAAGCGTAAGAGCCAGCTAATTGTCCTGTTTAATGTGCTCGGCTGAAAAATATTCTGTCTAGCAGAACAGTTGTTGACAGATCTCATCAAATATAAATACCAGAGCCCTATATAAATATCCAGCATCTGAAGTATTAACGTTCGAAGGGGCTGCTAATTATAATTCATTTGCCAGGAACATTAATTGTTCTCGTAACAGAAGAATCAAGAGGAAAATCTGATTTAGACTTGTTCCTTTGTTTCCTTTAAATGCAGGGGGTTAACAATTCTTCCATCTCATTCCCTCAAGCGCGCACACACACCCAAAATAATCTGGGTGTGTTAAATCCATGCTGAAATAGGTCCCTGTTTGCTGTTTTTAAATGAGGGTTCATTAGTGAAATCCTGCTCATTAATTAGGGCTGGGTGCCTTGAACTGGGAATACAGGGCCTGATCCCACATCTGGGCAAGTCAGTAGACAGACAGCCATTTGAGTTCAGGGAGCTTTGGATCAGGCCCATAGGCCAGCCAACCACTGCAAACCCCCCGATAGTGCAGGCAAGCTAGCTGCTATTGGCACAGCTGGGGCTCACCCCTGCTTGGCACCAGGATGTGCCAGAAGCTTCAGCAGGGGCTAGCCCTGTGAGTAACTGCCCCGGGTTCCAGGGGGGCTGGTGGAGCCTGCATTGGAGTGAGTGCGGTCCTGGATTCGCTGCTCCGACACCTGAGCTAGCTTGGGTACATCAACACAAGCTGCAATCACACTCCATGACTGCAGTGCAGACCTACCCGAAAGCAGCTGGGGTGCTGAAGCGCTGGGCTTTGAAACTTGGAATCTGGTAATAACGGGACCAGCGCCTGGAAATCCAGCTCCACACGCCACCCACGCTGGACCTTGTAAGCAGGGCTCAGCCCACATCTGCCCTGCTACTCTTCGCAAAGAAAGAGAAGTGAACTCCCTGAGGGATGAACGGATTGGATTGAGTCTGGCACATGCTGCCCATCGTCTGGGACACCGGGCAAAGAGCCGGGCCTGGAACTGACTGCTCCACAACGGTGAATTCTCCCCCTGCCTTTATTACCTGAAACACCCCAATAGAACCCCATCACTGCTGTGGGGAGGAAAATGGAGATGGTGGAATGGTCTCCCCGAGGATACAGTGGATGCCGCATCGATTGAGTCATTCTAAACCGGACAAAGCGCTGGAGAGCACACTCAAGGGAACAACCCGGCTGCAGCAAGGGATGGATCAGACGCAGCCTAACGAGGATCTTTCATCTTTCTCCAATTGCTACAATGCTGTGAAAATGCTCCCACAAAGGGGGGGGAAGAGTGGGACAGTTCCCCCGTCTGTCCCCCAAACAGACCCAACTGTCCCCCTGCAAACCGCGCCCTCCCCCGAGAAGCATCATCGGTACTCGCAATTCCTATTTGCTTCCCCCAGCGCCGCTGGAGGACAGCAACAGAGGAGATCAATTGCTGCTCTGGGTAATGAAAGGAGATGAAGAAGCAAACAGCTCTGACACCTCCAATTTATTACCCCAGGTCCAGCCATTTTTAACAGGGAGTAATGTGATTGTGCTGGCAAAATCAAAAGCCTCCATACGGGTTTATTACACGGCGCACTAAGCCAGTGGGAGCTGCTAACCTGGTGGAGGCGGAGCGGGACTGGGGAGGTAATAGGATGGAGCAAGGTTCATTACTGCTGTGCCTGGGGGAAGAGTGCCTCGGGGGGGGGGGGGGGTAAAGAGAGGTGCCACCACCATGTACACAGGATCAGCTCAGCCTGAGACTCTTCGCGAGCAATTGGCGGAGACGGAGAATGCAGTGGGAATGCTGGCCCTGCTGCACGCCCACCTCCCATAGCAATGAACGGTAGCTCTGCAGGCTGGGGCAGGGGGGAGAGGGGGAAGGGGGGAATTGTGACCCTGCTTTTCAGAGCCAGGCAGCGAGAATACTCCGAGCTGCTCACTTGCGTGTCGTGCATGTGGACAGTAACCACTGGGGCCTGGCTTGTATCTCTATAAAGCTATCCCTAGGCAGGGCAAGCGCCACCTTTCACTGCATAGATCTGAAGGCCAGAAGAGACCATCATGAGCGTGTAGGGTGAGTCCCTGCCTAACACGCAGGCACCAAGAACCATGGGCTAAAGACCTTCAGGAACCCGGTTAAAGGGCCACCTCCCCCCCATTACCAGCCAGAACCCTGAGACGACAGGAGCTGGACCGATCCTGCATTGGCCAAGGGCTGAACTAAATCCTTTAACCGTTCCTTGCCCTGCCGTTGTGTAAATCCAGTCTGCCCAGAACCGCCCCCCACTCCAATGAGCGCGTGATGGGGAGGCATCGGGTGACCAACATGATGACTTGGCAGGATCAAGCCCTAAATTGCAGTACAGACTACGGGGGTGTGAATTGAAGGGCATTCAAATGTCCTGCACACGCTCAAAGCGCCCCGCATAGACCCTGCTGGCACGAACTAACAGGTACCTCACTCACGTTGACGCAGGCCTGTTTCAAACAGCGCTACGTCAACAGGCAGTAGGTACCTGTTAGTTCGTGCCAGCACGGGCAGTTCGAGCACTCTACACTTCATACCCCTGCAGCTCGCCCTGCAGCATGGTGCAGAAAAGCCCAAAGGTCCAGATCCTCAAAGATATTTAAAGCTCCGACATTCCATTGATTTCAGTCCCTCTGAGGATGGCCACAAATAACTTGCGCTGGGTCTCCCATTCGTTACAATAAACACTTGTTACAGTCGCTTAATGCTGTTTTTCTGACATTTCCAGCCTCTTAATAACAGGTTGCCTTTCCCTAGCTCCTTCCATCCAACATTCTCAACCTGCTCTATGAACACGCATTAACCAAGTGTCACAAGCATTCTGTCTGGCAGGTCAAAGTAGCCTTTAACAGACAGGGAAACTGAGGCAGAAGGAGGGCAAACGGCTTGCCTATGGCCAGTGGCAGAGCCAGGGATAGAACCCACTGCTCCCAGGCCTGTACCTTACCACAAACCACACTCCCGGCCATCTTTGTCACCGTCTCCCTCTTGTCAAACAGATGGGAGACTCTTCCAACAGTGCTACGCAGCTGGGAGACCCAAGGAAACGCAAGCCTGACGAAAGCCAGCTCCGATAAGGTTTGACAAGCGCTGCCTGAAGAGGATGATAACGATCAAGGAGGACAGATGGTGAAGAATGGAATGATTGGGGAGGCAATGAGGCAGAAATGGATCATACCCCGCACCAGGTGGTGGAATGGAAAGCCCCTAGGAGCACGTGATCAGATGGGGGCAGGGTGGGGGGGTCGTAAGTGGCCATGGCAGAGCGGATGACCCCATGGAGCAAGGAGTGGTGAAGGCATGTGGGAAAGATTCACTGAAGGCAAAGATCCATAGCAGACAGGAAGGCTCATTGGAGGGGAGGGCGCCGAGACCCCACTGAAAACAGGGCTAGCAGACTCTTCTGTTTACCTGGAATGAAGTGAAGTCTCTCGACTCCAGGCAGACCCATCTCTCTCTAGTGCACGGCAGCAAGATGGATGGGCTTGCGGAGAAGGCATCGCCGTGGGACTCTGGAGAACTGGGTTCAAGCCCCACTTTTGCTGCAGACTGCCTGGGCGACCTCAGGAAGAAAGTTGTGTGAGCCCTGAGCTACCCGCCCACCTGTGAAAGAGGCAATAGCAGCATTCTCCCCCACTCTCTGGGGCAGGGACAGCCCTGCTGTAGGGGTACATACAGCACCAGGCAAAATGGGACCCTGATCTCGCTTGGGGCCTCTAGGTGCTATTGTGATACAAATAAAGGTGAGTTGCAGGGGCTAGCAGTGGGATTTGGGGCGGGAGGGGGAGGAGCCTGGCAGATGGGAAACGAGAAGTTACCCCAATCTTTTCAAAGTGTCACCCGGCAGCTGTTGCCATGCGCGCTCAATGCCACGGCCCAGTTCTAACCGGCCGCCGAGAGGGAGCCCGATCACAGAAATGCTGGTAACGTGACGACAAAAGCAAGCCGTCCCTGCCAAAGGCCAGGGTGCTCCTTCAGCAGCGGCAATGCGGTACGTGCCTCTTGCAAGGGAGAGCACGGAGTCCTCCCCGTTGTCATCACAAAGGAAAAGAGACAGAGGCCCAAGAGAAATGGGATTCCAATGAGACAGAGGAATTCCATTGATCG